GCATCTGTTTGGCAGCATGGAGATGTGCGGAGAGGGTCCCTGGTGATTTGAAAGATTGCAAGCTGCTGTGTATCAAGCAAATTCCTGGGTTTAGAGGCTGCATTCAGGGTCTGAAAAGCTGTGCTAAAATGTAGTGTCTCTTGACTGCAATCTTTCAAAATGTTGTGACTTTTCTGCCTGACGTAGATGCCTCACATCTCAGCTGAGACTGAGTGCTTTACACCAGATACTGTATGCATAAAGGATCTGGGAACTGGAGCCATGATTTAAAGACCAAAAAAAAAAAAAGAGAGAAAGAAAAAAGGGGAAATAGAAGTCTGTCTTATCTTGATTGAAGCTATATATAATAAACATTGGGGATAAAATAACTACCTTTGGAACTGGTGTCAGGGGTGCTTTTAGTTCTGCACCACAAATTTATTTTCTTTTCCCCTTTAACAACCTGATCTGATTCTATCAGGGTCCTTCCAGAGGCTGCAGGATTTCCAGGATAGCTAAATTCCAAGTAAGAGTCAGGTTTCTTTTCACCAGAAGCTAGAAAAGGACACGTATTTGAAAAGGAATTACTGTGAACTGGGTGAGACTGAGATAAATTGAGGAATAATCTTCCTGTGCTAGGTGAAGGGAGTTAAATAAGTAGTTCCTGAGTTATGACAACCCTTTAAAAAAAGAAGTATGAGTTCTAATTTCACATCCTTTGCCTTTCTCTTGATACATCTAAGCAAACCTTTTCCTAAGAGTGGGGAGCAGAAACAAAAACCTGTGGCTAAGATACAGGACTTGAATAACTAGATGTCCAGGACCAGATGGAGCCCAGCATCAAAATTAAAGCAGTTCCATCACTCCATCAAAGTTCTGTCACTAGAGAACGAATGTGATTCTTTCCAGGGTTGGAGGTCAGTATATAACCTTTATGCTGTGTAGACTTGTGAATGAAGAGAGGAGACCAAACCCAGGCTCTGGTCCGTACGCCAGACCCATAAGCCTCCAGAAATGGTGCTCTTCCCTCTGGCTTTTGGTGTGGGGAGTGAGCGGGTGGTCTGGCTGCTGCTGCAGCTGAGGCTTCCCCTTTGAAGTGCTGGAGAGCTGCAGTGTGGTGAAGGCCAGGAGATAGTCCAGCTTCCTCCCCCATGTCTGTCCACGTTGCGTTCCTGGGAGCTTCCTTCCTGAGGATGCCTCTTTCCAAGGCATTGCTACTTGGAAGAGCTGACCACCTCGAGGCTTCAAAAAGCAAAACCCCTCACAGCTGCTGCTTGTCCCCTCTGCTCTGGGAGGCCAGAATCTCTGCTGCTTTGGGCATGACAATGGACTGCTGCTGGAGAGTAGCCCTCACCTTGCTAATTAGCCCAGAAACTCATTCTCTCGCCCTGTATAAGGCAGATGGCAAATATCCATGTCTGAGCTGCATGGAGCTGGAAGAGAATTACTGTGGGGCCAGGTGTACACAGCCTGTGTGTGTTCCACGGTGAGCTGGCTGCGGCTCACCAAAGACGTGTCCAGCTTGAAAGTCTCCTCCATGTGCAGTTTGTTACAAGGGATGCTGCTGTGCTCTGTGCAAGGAGGCTTTCCTAGGGCTTGGCTGCTGCGAGCGCTGGATTTGGTGCTCAGAAGGGAAGGGGTGCAGCTCCTGCCCAAAACCAGCTTAGCGTGATCTCCATCAGCCTTGGGTTTTTTATGTGACTTCCTCTGAGCAAAGGTTTGCCATTACCTTACGTGCCATGGGAAAGGACTTGTGAAGGCAATAAACCAGCAATGTTTTGCCCTCCACCAGCGCGTTCTCTTGGTGTCAGTTGCCAGACCTGCTCCTCGGTGATTTACTGGAACCCAACACGGAGGAGGAGGGGACCCTGCTGGGAACTGTGCACTGTTGGCAACTAAGCTCCAGTTGCGGAGGCTTTAACTTAACAGTTTAGTCTACAGTTGTACAGAAATAACATCCAGCTCTTGCTTGGCTCAGAGATCCAGTGATGGAGAGCGTGTCAGCAAGGGAGGGAGGACAAGGTGACCTGCCTGATGAAGAGGAATGGGCAATTTGCTTGTCTGCAGTTGCATCACTAACATTTTTCTTCCACCCCCCTGCTTCATGTCATCTCTGGGAACCTAATGTTCTGCAGAAGTGTTTTAGTGCCCTTTGTAGTACGGTCACTTGCCAAGTTCTCCACTGAATTAAACTTCTTGTGGAGCTGAGAGCTGGTTGTGCTGCAGAAATCCCAGGAGCCCACCCATGATCACTGCCAGGTGGCTGTGGACTCCCTACACTCCGCAGGGCTGCCTCTATAGCTGGTGGCCCGTGGCAGAGCACCGTGTGCTCTCCAGAGCTGGACTTGCCCTTGGTGGGATAACAACACGGGGTTCTTATTTGCCGAATGCATTAGCATAACCTTAAACTTGAGTCAGTTTTATTCCTTAACCCAGGCACAATTTGGAGTCCACTGCTTCTCTTTTTCCCCCTAAGAAAAGGCGTGTAGGAGCTTTTTCTCTGGCAGGCACAGGTTTGCAGAACAGCTTAACTCTCCCCTTGTGGCTCAGCCACGGGATGTCTTCTCTTTCTGGTGTCAGCCGCATGGCTCTGAGTCACTTTTCTGTGTGCAAGTTCAAATGTCCATAGTGCCCTGGGTTGGCAGGATGCCCAAGTACAAGAAGATAGTCACTTTGCCCTTATGAATCAAGTTTTGAGTTAATTATCTGTTTGCTTGGACAGAGGGTGTCCTTGCGTGTTGGGAAGATAATCTTGTGATCTGGACCAGGGTCAGAGGAGTTCAGAGCTTTGGCAGAGCAGTGGGAGGGAGGGAGCGATGGGTGGCTCCCCAGGATGAGGTCAGGGGCCATAGGGCTAGTCGGGGATGTGAGGGCTGGGTCCTCATCCTCTTGCTACCATGAACTCTGGGTATGGCCATGGGCAAGTCACAGGTCACTTAAACTTGGCCTTGGCAAGTGGAAAGGAGTAATTCAAGGAGGTGGAAGTTAAAGTGGAGAAGATAGTAGAGGGGACTGGGAAGCCAGAGGCCCAAAAAGAGGTGGATGGTAAATCAGAAGTATTCATCATTTGTGCTGCAACAACCTAACGTGGGGATGCTAACAGAAGTCCCATGCCACAGTCCTGCTCTGCGGTTTAGAAGGGCAGCAGTAGGTCGGGGGCGTTGTATCACCTTGTGGAAGGGGGGGAGAAAGCCCCAGATCTGTGGGGTCTTCCCCTGCTAACACACGAGCTCTGTGGCGAGTAAGGGCTTTAGTAGAGGCTGGCTGTTGAGTTTTGCTGGGGCCTTAGTAGGTGCCAGGTTGGGGTCCCTGGGTGGAATGGGGGGCGGCTGCTCTGATGGTGCCGGCAGAGGGAGAGCAGAAATCAGTTGTGATGGATCAGCATGGATACAGTGGGAAGGGAACAGGTTGGTGGGACAGTGGGATACCTTGGGACACAAAAGGATCTCGCAGTGTGGTGGTGTAAAGCCTCTCTTCAAAGAATTGTTGGGCTGCCTTGTGCTCCTAGGGCTAAATGTGTAGTGGAAAAGCATTCTCTGAATGGCCCTTAATGCTCTGCTGGTCTTGTGTAGCACTGTGTGACTGGTGTTCCTTTGTTTTTCCTTGCTTGCAGTGCCTCTGACTGTCATGGGCGATGCCGGCATGGGACTGAACGTCTCTCCTCCTGACAACACTGCTCAGCAGGACTCTCTCTTCAGCATGACGGATGTGTTTCTCATCTCGCTCATCACCGGGGTTTTTACTTACTGGTTCTTCTTCCGCAAGAAAAAGGAGGAAGTCCCAGAACTCCCCAAAATGCCATCAGTGTAAGTAACAACTCAGGCAGCATGGAGTGAGTGTGGTTTTCTGTCTTGCTTTTGTCTTCGGAGGCTGTGTGGGAAGCTCAGCTGGATTCTGGGAGGTCCCCAGGTGAGTGGACTTACACCTGAAGTGCCTATCCCTCCCCTCATGTTTCTTCTGAGCTGCAGGTTCACCTTGCAAAGCAGAAATCCCCATGGAAGAGCCAGGCTGTGGTGCTGCCTTACCCCACTGCGTGGCCCAAATCAGTAATTCGCCTTTCCCGAGCACAGCAGGAAAAGGCAAGGCGGAAAAGCCCCTGGCTGTACTTCAGAACTCCTGAGGGTTGCTTTGGCTGGTCTCTGTGTTTTCCGATAAACGTCTTAATTGAGTGAATCTGGAGAAAGGTGGACTTGCTCTTAAGCAGATTTCCTAGCAGAAATCTTATCTGGTTTTAGCTGTGAAAAGAAGAAATAGTCTTGGGGAGCTGGAAGATAGTTCCTGGGCATGAGCTGCTTGGCAGCTCTTGTGAAACTTGCTGGACTTTGATGCCAGGTTACTGCAGCAGCAGGAGACTGGATTTGGAGAGGGAGAGGTCCTTGTTCCACCCTGTCTTCGGCAAAGGGCTTAGGTCCAGGAGCAAGCTGTGTTGGTGGAGGTCTGGGTGCATGTAGTTCTTTGTTGCATGCTGAACTTAACATCAGTTTTCTGCTGGGCTTTTTAGCTCATTCCATCTGTTTCCTTCTGGAGCATCATTAGAGGAGTAAAGAGGTTTGAAACCCGTTGCAGCAGAGACCATAGGTGCTGATGTCGTGCAATACCTTTCCCTTCAGTCTCCTGCAATATGTTCCCTTGCCTGGGTGCAGTTTGCCCCAGAGAGAAGCCCAGACTCAGCCTTAGCCCAGCTCTTTGCTTTCCAATATTAAGCCACCACGCAACAAAGGTGAATCTTCTGGCTTTGCAATACCAGCTGCAAATTCCCTGCAGGCCTCCTGAGTCCTCCGTGGTTGGTTGTGAGCCCATGCTGCGAGGAGGGGCAACGCGACAGCTGGCTGCTCGCAGTAGGGCCAGCATTTAACACACAGTTGCACCAGTGAGGCGTCCTGCATGAAGCAGGTTTCTCCCCTTGGTGCTTGGCAGGTGCTGCTCTGGCAAGAAATAGTTCTCAGTCCTTTGTTTCCAGCGTTACAGCCTGGCGTGGAAGGACGCTGTGGCAGGGGCTGTCCGTAGGGTGGCCCGAAGAG